TATTGGACAGCATTTTCAGGTAAATTGGTTATTTCACATTAACTTATTCACATAGTTCCATCTAGCAATCGCAAACCTCTCCCAATATTCATTCTAAAATTTTTTAAAATTATTTAAATGTCTCACACTTTATCTTAGTTATCTTATGTATGTTTATTAGGGTGCCTCGCCAAAAAAATAGCGGTTTCCACCGGAATTATAAATTTTATTATACATAGTTTAAGACTTCGGACAAAAATCACATTATTTTGATACAGTCGATACAATGTTTAAACATTTTAATGCAGCTTTTTCGAAAAAAAATATTATTAAAAACCAATTTCATTTACGAAAAACTCGAATTTTGGGGTTATTTTCAAATCCGTCCAGCTCACGTAAATCTTAATATTTTTCCGAAGTATTTTGGCGGAAGTCTTAGAATATAATTAATTTTATAAGTCCGATGGAAAAACTTTACCGATTTTTTTTTTTGTATGGGTAGTGATACACCCTAATATTAATACACTAACAATCAATTTGTGCTTTTTTGTTTTTCTTTCTTTACTTTAACAGGTGTACTTACCGTGGGAAAATATCATACCAAAAAATGTTGCGCAGGGCTCCACCGTTATCGGCCTGTTGGTGTTCTTTTCCTATGCAATCGTCTTAAATACTGTTGTGCCAATATCTCTCTACGTTTCAGTAGAGGTAAGTAAGAGTTAGAAAAAAAATATTAAAGCCATTCTAAGAACATGACACAGTCCCACAATACTATACTTATACATTTTTGGTTATTGAGTGAAGTCAGAATTCAAAAATTTTCTTTTCTTTCATATTCAATGGTGGATTTTTTTAAGTTTAGAAAGAAAATGCGCGCCAGCTTCTGTACTTTAGCCATAGCCGCGCCAATTCGCGCATTTGTCTATGTGTAGTTAGTTGTTAATTTGCAACCCTCTAGGAAAGGGAAACGTTCCCTTTCGTCATACTGTTAATTTCTTTTTTATCATACGATACCGTTGGTGGGAAACTTTCCTCCTTCCTCCCTTCGGCCCATTGTCGATTCCAAATTTCTGCCTTGTTTCCATAAGCAACGAAGACATTACCAAATTACTTCGAATTTGCGGTGTGTTTAGAATTAATACGAAGCCCAATCAAAGACGAATACGGAGACGAACTCGTATACGCACACGAACACGAAGGGGAATACGAATATGTACGAATAAAGGATAAGAAGGCAAAAACATGCCGTTTTACAGGGTTGAGTGTTACGTCAAACACATTTAGCACCGAGGAAGGGCAACATTTTTTGAAAGAAGTAGAAGGTCTGAAATTTTAAGAAAAGGCAATTGTTTATTTTTTTTTAGTCATAAGCCTCAATATGTAACGTTGTATGCTTAATTATTTTTACTCACTGAATTTACTAATATTTTTCCCATGCAGGTTATACGTTTCGCCCAATCATTTCTAATCAATTGGGATGAGGAAATGTACTATGAACCTTCGAAAACTCATGCCAAAGCACGTACCACCACACTCAACGAGGAGTTGGGACAAATACAATATATATTTTCGGATAAAACCGGTACACTAACACAAAATATAATGACCTTCAATAAATGCAGTATTAATGGGCGTACCTATGGTGATGTATTCGACCTGCGTACGGGCGAAGTTATCGAAGTTACAGATGTAAGTTTTTAGTCTAAGAAGAATCAAACAATTTGCATTTGATATTGAGAGGAGCTAAACGTCCTTAACAAATTATTAACAAATTATTAACAAATTGTGCTGATGATATGTTTTTTTTTTTGAGGCTAAAACGCATATCAACTATTTATTTAGGACAAAACTAATTATGTATACACTTTATTTTCTCTAACTGCAGTTAAAGCTTTAAAGCAATTTCAAACATTGCAGCGATTTCTTGGCACAAATACTTACGTACATACTACATGCACACATACATACATACATACATATTATTGGCAGTAGTAGGGGCTATTGCATGTGGTTTAAATCACAAACAGAGGAGAATAATCAAATATAATTTAACTAACAGCTTATTTTTCATTAATAACTACATATGTATGTATGCATCCCCTTATACACACATATGTATGTACATTGGAAAGATAATATGGAAATTTCAGGCGAGGAATTGAGCAAAGCAAAAAAAAAGAGCTTTTATTGGACCCCTTTGTAAATATTGCAATGTCGCGTGTTTCGCACAAATTTGCAACCGAAATTGGAGTATAATTGAATTTGAGTAGAAATTTTGTGACATTGGCGCATTTTATCTTTGCACTCCTTCGAGCACCGACACTCACACTCATGCACAATTGTTGCCAAGCCAATTGAGTTCTTTTTTTTTGCATCCTTTGAGCACTTTGCACTTCACTTCACAATACTTCAGCTGTTCAGTCTTTGTCTACTATTTGACAACTATTTTTGTTTGTCTTAACAATTTTTTACATTTAGTTTTTAGTAAAAGAAAATCCTTAAAACATATTCCTTGTTGTAGAAGCAAAAATATGTACAGAATAGCAACTTTAATGTGAGCGGCAGCAATAGCGCCAATAAAAGCACGCCGGCACCAACAATACTATTGCACACCGCGGAGGTACATCCGAAGAAGAGCACAATTATGGTTTCCAGTCCCGAAGAAGGTGGCTCTGCAGACGTTACCATTGCACCGGCGAATTTGACAACCACACAAGACGCTTTATTGCCCATGACTGGTACTGTAACTGTTCAGACTGATTTGGCCAACAGTCCAACGCAAGAATACGCGCCCCATATTTCGGCGTCCAGCAGGCATCAAGCTCAATATGAAGATAGTTCCATTGGCAGCTCAACGCCTACGGAAGCTAAAGCGCAGCGAGTAACTTGGCGCCAACGTTCAACATCGCAGTCACCGACCCGTCGTATGCGACGTCAATTGTCGACGCGGTCCAATGCGAGCGATAAAGTAATGACATTCGGTGATTCCACACCATCAACACCGCATAGGGCACTGATAATGTCATTTGACAACAACAACACATCTAGCACCACAACTACTACACCCTTAGCAAAAGCCTGCACGAGCACCACGCCGCCACAATCGCCTGACATTACAACAATGCTGCCATCATTGACGATGGCGATGGCGATGAGGAAATCATCAGTAACATCCACATCAACACCTGCAACTACACCCTCATTGACATCAGTAACACCATCGCCATCAGCACTATCGTCATCTTCCCTATCGTCACTATCACAAATCACAACAACAATGCACTCAGATACATTATCACAGACGATGGTACTTTTGGGTACGCAGCAACAACAACAATCTCACACCACCAACGCGGCAAGTCGCACACAAAAGACACCAAACCAAAAAACCAAGAACAAAAGCCTAACAAAATCGCTTACACCAGATACAATTGGCAAAACATGCTCCAAAAAGCACTGTATGTCATGTTGCGCTTGCCATAGCCAGGAGTTCCAGTCAGCAGAGCATCCGAAAGGCAGCGCAAAATCAAAATTGAAATCCAACTTGAAATCGCAATCGAAAAAAATGCTTAAGCAAACATGCGAAAATTGTACAAAAAAATGCACTAATAAAAATCACACCAAAAACGTACGCATCAACAACAGCACCACCACAGTAACCGCCACCAATACCGATAATGTATTTAATTTCTATGACACCGGCTGGAGTTCGTCTCACCAAAAAGTGCACGTATGCATGTGATTTTGTACTCGGCTAACTGTAATTTGTGCGCTCAAGATAGAAATGTGTACGCTCGCGCAGTCGAAATCCTAAGCTGCATATATGTATTTAGTACTATGACGCTAAATACGTTTTTTGTTTGCTTTGTTTTGCCGCTTGATTGCTTCACGCACCCCTCCACCCTGTTTAAAAGCTTAAAACTGTGCCAATTTTTATAGTTGAATATGATTCAAGTTCTTTCTACAAACCTTTTAAAGCAGAGATGTGCGATTAATCAATTATTAATCAAATATTATTCAAAATATTTTCTTTTTAATTAATCATAATCCTGATTAACTGAAAAAATTGATTTATCAGGTTTACTCTAAAAAAATTAATTCAAATCTGAGTAACTTTTGTCATTTATCTTTTGAGTTTGCTTTCAAAGCAAATGAAATTGGTTAAATATTAGAATACAATCAGGGTATGTAAACGCTTAAATGCCTCGTAATTAAACAAGTCCTCGGGGTTTACGTGGTTACGGGCATTTGCGTTTAGATGAACTGGACGACTGAGTGGAAGATCGACCTATCTCGGCAGCCGGTTCGAAAACGTCCTATTTCAGAAAACTTTTCAAAAACGCCCTACTTAAAAATTTTTTTGAAGAACGCCCTATTTCAGAATTTTATTAAAAAAATACCCTATCTCAAAATTTTGGTGAAGAACGCCCTATCTCCAAATTCGGTTCAAAGACAACCCATCTCAAATGAAAGTGTATTGAAAATGTGCTTAGATATGGCGTTTTTGAACCAAATTCTGAAACATGGCATTCTTGAAAAGTTTTCTGAGATAGGGCGTTTTCGAACTGGCTGCGACGAATTGCCCAAATGTAACTTTCTTCTTCCACATAATGCCAAACAAATGGTAGAGGTTCTCCACTCATTATTCTTAGTGATAATAACCTAACATTATAAATCTGCATATAAAATTGTGGCTTTGGCTGTGAAATAAAATGCACATCGTTACTACTCGTATGTAATTAAAATATAACAGCAATTATTCGGGTCTCTTATTAATTAAAATGGAATTAACTGCTAAATAAATTATTTTGATTAATCAAATATTATTATTATTTTGTTAATGAATGAATGAGGTTTCGATTAATCAGCTTGTTCAATTAATTGATCAATCGTACATCTCTAGTTTGAAGCTTTATTTTTCCTAACTTTTTTGAAATTTTTTGATTTGATGTGAAACACTTCTGGCTTCGGTAAGGTAAAATTTTTCTTTGATGTGAAACGGTTTTTAACTCATGATATGAATATTAAATAAGTTATTAGTAAAAAATATTTTTAAAACAAGCTTTCTAAATATGAAACGAATCGGACCATAAAAACGGGCTTACCAAATATCTCCACTATAGCGCTATCTGCAAAAAATTCCCTTCAATATAGATAATATATATTATAAATATAAACTAAATCAGGCTATAGATGCAGAGTTTCGAAATATTTCGACATACGCGCCACCTACCGGCTAAATTTTTTGTGTAGTTATACGTTCCAAATATGAACCAAATCGGCTTATAAATACAGTGCAACCTAGCAGATTAATACCTCTTTCAAATTCCATTGTCATCGGGTTCTGAGCTAAGTTTGAAGTTTCAAGACTCTAACTTATCGGGAATGCTTCAGCTGTCCACGTCCTCAAAAGATTTCAGAAACACTTTGTGATTCAAGCCATACGATGAATGTTGCCTCATTCCATGACTGTGTACTGGAAAGTCAAGTGTTTTACTCATCTCTACTCTGAATCGCCGAGAGGATTTTATTGTATGTCTGGTCTAGTTCTCAAGCACTCGTTCGCTTCCTCATTTCTCCAAACACCACCACGCTGCAGTGGGGCTCAGCAGAGAGTGAATATGTCTTGTCTATTGGATTGTGGGAATTTTCAATATTCCGTAACTCAGGTTGAGTAGTAGGACCTTGATCGCAGCCTAACTGTGTATAACAAAGATGTACTTCAAGGAAAAACGCCCAGTATCCTTAAAAAGTTTGCATAGATCTCATCCTAAGAATATTACAGCAATCTACATAGAAGTATGGAAGTCAGTGTATTTTGTACTCCCGTCGTTCTCTGAAACGGGTTAGGACTACCCGCTTCTTCTGTGTAAAATTTCAAAGACGGACAACGTGATCTAAGCCTCTCTGTTAAAGGTAGAATTTTAGACGCCCTAAGCTTTTAGCTACTCCCAGTTGCAGGGCATTTAACATTTATGTCTCTAGTTGGAATGGATAGAAGAGTCTCTAACGCCGCCTGGAGTGGCGAGGAGACTCCACATACAAATTCAAATTATTTTCAAAGTTGTATTGGAAAGCTATGTCACATCAAATCCTGACTACTAACACTCATATGATTTTTTTTGTTGTGCTACTTTTTTGCATGCGCTATATAAAATAAAAAAATATAAATGTATCTATTATAATTAACATTATTAACCTTTCATGCCTCAGTGAGCTTCTAGCGGCGAACTAATTGCTACTTAAAGTTTCTCCTTTCCATCTACGGTCGGTTCGATTTACTTATGATGCCTGAGCTAAAATTGCATGCCGCAGCTTTCATTGTCACTAACAAATACAAATACATATACAAATAAATAATAATTGCTTTAATACTCCAAGAAACGCTCCAAGGCTTATTATAACTACAACCACTTATGTACATACATAGTGCATACATATGTACATGTACTTACACTTTAGTTCATAAATCAATTTATTAAATAAAATGAATTCAAAACCCGAGCAACTTGCCACGCTTTATCCATATAAATACATACAAACTGTTGTACATAACTATGTAGATTTGCGCATTTCTTAGCAGAGACATAAAAAAAACTTAACTCAAAATATTAAATATTTTTTAAGGCTCTCGAACCGGTGGACTTTTCGGCGAATCCCGAATTCGAACCCGACTTCCGCTGGTACGACAAGACCCTGCTGGATGCAGTGCGCTCTGACGAAGAGCACACCCAAAATTTCTTTCGCCTACTTGCGCTGTGTCACACCGTAATGCCGGAGTATGTGGAGGGACGACTCGAGTATCAGGCGCAAAGTCCAGACGAGGCTGCGCTGGTGTCAGCAGCACGAAACTTCGGCTTCGTTTTCCGCTCACGAACGCCAAATAGTATAACGATAGAAGTGATGGGTAATCGAGAGGTATGTACTTGTACACATGTAAATAGATAAGGGTCAATCCATGTCAAATCGTCCAATGTTTGGAAACGACCATTTTTGATTTGGATGAATTTTTATTATATAACAAAGTTGTGCGAAACAAAAAATGTTTACGTTTTTTTTTAATTACCGGGATTTTGCAAGTTTTTTTTTTTTTGAGTATCTCAAAAACTATTAGAGCTACAAATATGGTTCTGGTCTTGTTTTAAAGTTGTTATAAAGAGACTATATGTATATAAAGAACTTTAACACTTTTTTTTTATTCACTACCTCTAATTGATCTTAAAAGATTCTGAAATTTTCATGCGGTTTTCTTTTAATGATTTGAATTTTGGACTTTGAAAATTTTTTTTGTTTTTACTCTAATTAAAGTTGTGCTAAACAATTTAAATTTATTTTTAATTTGCAATTTGAAATTTTTTTTTTAAGTTAAAAAATTTCTTTGTTAAAAAACAGCTTGAAAGTTTCGATTTTAATTAAGATCAGTTGCAGGTATTGTATAAAGAAAGCTAATATAAAATTTGTCTTTCAAAAGTCTGAATTTGTTTTTTTATTTTTGGATTTTTTGAATATTTTTATACAGCTCCGAATGTCACCGTTAAAATGATACCAGAAGCATTTTTGTAACTATGTACAATAGTTTTAAAAATATTCAAAAAAATTACTTAAAAAATCCGGAAAATTGTGAAATATTGAACTTTCAAAAAAATAAAATATTATTTAAAACTTCATCCAAATCAAAAATAGTTGATTCCAACCATTGGTCGATTTGAAATGATTGACCCATAAACGTATTTTTTTTTTTTAACAGTGTAAAATTTAATTACTTATTTTTTTTCTCTTTTATTTACAGGAGTATGAACTTCTCAACATTCTAGACTTTAATAATGTACGCAAACGTATGTCGGTGATATTGAGGCGGGGCGATGATATTATACTGTACTGCAAAGGTGCTGATAATGTGATTTACGATAGGTTAAGCACTAGTCAAAGTGATATTAAGGCGCGTACTCAGGATCATTTGAATGTAAGTTGAAAATTTAATTATGCTCAAATAATATTTACGACCAAAAAATTGCTCTGCAGAAATTCGCTGGCGAAGGTTTAAGGACACTGGTACTTGCCGAACGACGACTTGACGCAGATTATTATATGGATTGGTTACAACGCCAACAAATAGCAGCTGTTTCATTAGACGCTCGCGAAGAGAAACTGAACGCCATGTATGAGGAGATCGAAAGTGAATTGATTCTGGTGGGTGTGACGGCGATCGAAGACAAGCTACAGGATGGTGTACCACAAACGATAGCCAATCTACAAATGGCTGGCTTGAAAATTTGGGTACTAACAGGCGATAAACAAGGTAAGCAGAAGTCATGTTTATCAGTTTGCGATTCTCTTTATGAATGCGATTTTTAGAAACTGCTATAAATATTGGATATTCGTGTCAATTATTAACCGATGAATTGGCTGATGTGTTCATTGTGGATGGCAGTTCACTAGAGGAGGTCGACAAGCAGTTGCGCCAATTCCGTGAATCGGTGCGAATTGTCAATCGTTTTAGACCCACACGTAAGTGACTGAACTACATACATATGTACATAGATACATATACATACATATGTACGTATAGAATTTCATTAAACAAACATAAATTCTTACACTTACAGCGCTCGAGCCGAATGTTAATCTGAATCTCAATTTAAATGGTTCGAATAATGCCGATCGTAATAGCACATCTGTGACGTATGGAACTGGCTTTCGTACGCAGGCCACACCACCGCCGGCGCCAGCGATATCTGTTGTTACCTTTAGGTGGGATGATGACAAAATTAAGCATAATAAGGGCGAACCGGACAGGTAGAGGGAACTCCAAAACAAACGCCGCACTTTTACACAAAAGAAACACAAATCTCCTCTCTCTCTCTCTCTCTCTTTCTGCTACTCTCTTGTTATTATTCCCTTTAGTTTTTTTTTTGGTTTGGAGGAACTACTTTAATAGATATTTTTTATAAGTATTATTTTATTATTATTTAACATCTGACTTTTCGTACCGAAGTACTTAATTTTAATTTTAATTTCAACTTATCTTAATTTTTCATTTTTAATTCGAATTTCACGGAATCTCACTGAAATATGCATACGTAAATAATCCGTATTAATGGGTATATTTCGTTTGAGTAGCAATTTTTAAAGCTGGAATATGTTTTATTTGTTAATAATGATTAATTCGTGCTTCACTGATTTAAAAGTAATATGTATTACAAACCTTTTAGGAATTTGACACAGCGGGTTTTGAAGAGTGCGAAACTGATAGACATATTAGGTCACAAGGTCAGGCGAGCAGGCAGGGTGTGGTTTTAAATTCTAGCTTAACTGCAATAATTTTTGATGTGTCGTGATGGAACACAACTCCTTTACGATTTAAAATCTCAAGATATTTCTTTATGACAAATTCTTTCAAAAGGTCCAATTAACGACAATTCATCCCAATTGATCTTTCGATTTCGTATTGAAGCTCCTCCAATCCTACCACTCATAGAGCATAACCTTCTTTTGATCAAGTTCTGCATTTGCCATCGTTTGAGGTGAATCATCAGGTCGGAAGCAATAATCCACTTCACATAACCGGTGGAGTAGTTGGCGCTGCCATTCCGTAGGGCCTGGATTCAAGCCCGGTTCAACCCAACATCAAAAACTAAAAAATAAATTTCTCTAATAGCGGTCGCCCCTCGACAGGCTCTGGCAAACCTCCGAGTGTATTTCTGCCATGAAAAACAGCTTCTCATAAAAAAATACAATATCCGTTCGGAAACGGCGTAAAACTGCAGGTGCCTCCACTTTGTGTGACAACAAAAATCGGAGGAGAAGCTCAACAAAACACTAAGATATGTGTGAGCGCCAAAATATCATTATTATTATTATCTATTGTTTTCTATTATTAACTTCATTCAGCCCATGTCGAATCCAAATGTCGAGCTGGCTACTTCATTAGCTGGAAATGAAAACACTTTTCTTTTACTGATTTTCAATGTTCCTGCAGCCTCTCGTATCGTGTAAAGTGGCGTTCCTGACGGAGAATCATCTTTGATATTAAAAATACCAGCTTGGAATTTCTTAAGCTAGTTTTGCGACTGTCGCTCTTCACCAAAATCTTTACGCAATTTACATATTGAAAATCTATATCACCTAACAAACGCCATGGTACTCTATATGACTACGGGGCGTATGAGTAACAATTTACTTTTGAAGATAATTTCTTTAGATTTTCTTACCGACTTCAAAAAAGGAGAGGTTATTAGTTCGCCGGAATTTTTTTTATTTGGATTTGTACCACGTGAAATGTTTTCGATGTTTCTTTTTTATCGGAAAGGGTGGTCTCACACGAATTTGGTTTAGTTCCGATCATTGGATCGGTCCTTAATTTGTATATGAGCATTGAAGTCTGTTGTGTTTTTTTTTTACTTCAAAAATACATGTTTCTACATATATACGTCTACATAGTACATTGAAGGCTAAATATATGTATCTACATTGCTCTAAGTAATTGACTAGTGATGCATTGTTCTAATATGCAGCCCACAATAAAGTAAAGATCATTAAAAAAACACTTATTATAGCCAATAAAGAAATGTAGAAACATATTCTGCTTATTTTTGGTATTTTCCTTTAAAAATTCTATATTTTAAACTTCACTTCTATGACTAATTCAATAGAAATCCTGCATGAGAATTTCAATTATTTCAAATGCCTAAATATTCGAAAAGAAAATTTTCAAAAAAATGTCGCTTATGTTATTTTGGCGGTTAGGGCTCGATATTTTGTAGCATTTTTCGTTAAAAAATCTACTCAAAATTCATAAAAAATAAAATAGATTTAAAATGTATTTTATAAAGATTTTTAAATCTATTTTACTTTTTGTCAGTAAGACCACTAGCTTATTATAGCGCACAGTTAAGAATTCTTAGTATGTCCACAAAGCTATTTTCTTCTTCAAACACAAACTCTTACATACAAACCGATACATTGGAAAAAAATCAAAACAAAATCACGCCATTAGAATCTAATAATAATAGCCAACAAGACAGTGCAATTTCTACATCATTTGATTATATTGTACAAGGATGATCCCCTCTATTGGTACTTGTTCCGCCCGGAAAGTAAATACTTATTTTGTACATTAAAATATATTTTAACACATTTAATAATCGTAATTATTCACATTCGCATTGTTTGTTTGTTTGTTCGTTCATTCGTTAAAGTACACTTAAAAATGTCGTTGTCGTTAAACACGTTTCTCGCATACATACATAAATATTACATATACCTAAAGACTTCAATGTACATAAATTAATGTAGGTCAAATTAGGATGCATATTTAGCTTTTGATTGCTTGGTTTTCACATTTCACCCACATCGATCATTGAGCTTTTTTATTCATGTTGTTACTGTTGGTTTTGCTCCTATTGAAAACGTCACTAATATTTGCTTTCGTTTCGTTCGATCGTGTTTGTATTAGCGATTTCTTTTTAGTAAAGAGCTAGCTATGTATTGTACTGAATTTGATAAATATTTATTGAGAGACTTTTAAAACTACAATCCGTTAAAAAAAGTGTGTTGCATTGTTTTGTTGAACATGTTTGACATGGTTTGTGAATGTTGTCAGTTTGTATTATGCATATGTATGTATGTATGTGGGTATGAGTGTGTCCCTCGCTGCATTCATCATTTTCGTGCACTAATAAGAAAAACTAATTAAGTACATAATGCCATAATTAGTTTTACTGGGGTTTACTTGTCTACCGCCGATATCTATGCATGCATGTATGTATGTATGTATGCAAGTCATTTTTACGACAATTTTTTACCAACATCAAATGTAAATAGCTGCATACATACATACATATGTACTTGCAGCATCGCTTCATTTGTACCGTTTCTGCACAAATTGCCATCTATGCGTTTTTTGTATTTTCTTAATTTTTATTTTATTTATTTCTATATATATATGTGTATGTACATATTTATGCAACTTCATGCATCCTTCATTGTCTCAATATTAACGAATTGCTTTTCAAATTTTAACTGCAGCGCCGAATGTAATGAACTCTATGACAATATCGAGAAGGGTGCTGATGGCGCGACCACATTACATCCGGATGAAGTAATCGAAGAGAACACCGGCTTCGCGATTGTTGTCAACGGACACTCGCTAGTTTACTGCCTCTCACCGGAGTTAGAATCAAAGTGAGTGTTTTTATGTCAAATATGTATACATACATACCTACTATTGCATAAATGTTCTTCGTCATGAATTGCTTTCCACCTCCATTTTGAAACCGTCACTTGTTTACATTTTTGTGTGGTGAAATAAAACAATTTCAAAACATTACACTGGTATACAGCAAAAATGCACACTGGATGACCCTATCCAATCCCAATGTAGATTCCGAAAATGGAGTTAATTTTTTTTCTATAGATAAGTTTTCGAGATATTGGCAATTTGCCGATATTCAGCTAAAAATGTGGGTCCACTTAATAACATATATATTACAAAACAAAGAAATAATCTTGATACAAAATATGGCAAATGAAAGCTAACAATATTCTATATTCTCCTTCAACCGTATCTAAATCATTTTGCGATATGCCTGATAGTTTCTGGGAAAATACATAATCATTGCAGATTTTTTGTTTTTTTTTTATGAAAAAATTATAATAAAATTTAAACTTTAACAGGGAAAAAAATTAAAACAACAAATTCTGTGCCGATTTTTTTCTTTTGTGTTACAAAGAAATCCAATAGAAATGCGCCAGGATTTTTTTCATTGAAATAATAGCAGGAAAGAATGTCACTCATACGCCATGTACACGCACAAGAAAATCCTTCCGAATTATTGAACCATTCATAGGTGTTTAAGCAATATTTCACTACATAATATTCGCAGAAGCATTTAATTGGGAAAGAATGGGCAAAAAAGTGTAAAATAAAAGGAGATTAATGAGATCAAAGTTGACTTAGAATAACAGCACTGACTATATTATACTGGTTTAGGATTTCAACCTATATAGTTATATACCTTGTTTATACCTAAACAAACAACAAAAGGCTGATTTGCCTCAACATATATTTCTTTCAAGAATTTATACCTTTGTCGTTATGGCGCACTCGCTGAAACCGTATTCAAAAGTAAACAAACTTTATAATTTTTATTCGATATTTCTTAAATTATTTATTTGCGCGGTGTAACGAAATGGAAGTGAACAAGAATTCAAATTTGTTATAATAATAATTCAAATTTAAAATGGGCTGTATAAAGAAAACCAGCCTTTTTTCACTTCGCGTCAAATTAGTGATGTGTTTATACCAGTTTTCTAAAAAAGCGATTTGAAAACAAATTCGAGTCAATACACTTTCGAATTCCTGAGCGTATTGAAAGTTGGTTTATNAGTTTTCTAAAAAAGCGATTTGAAAACAAATTCGAGTCAATACACTTTCGAATTCCTGAGCGTATTGAAAGTTGGTTTATGCTTCCGTTTTGAATCACAACGAACTGGGTCAAAGCGCTTTATGTGTTGGTATAAACAAGGTAATAGTCATAGTTAGGTAGGTGCCGAGAATGCTCACACAACTACAGAAGCATTAGCGTTTCTAGTGTTTTTAAACCTGTGCAGCGATAGCAAGAATAAACCAATGAGCCAGATTATTACTGTAGACAGAACTTGGGTTCATTACTATGAGCTGGAGTTGAAGCAGGAGACCATGCGTTTCAAAAAGTACCATGGACTACAAGTGATCTGCATTAAATTTTTAACCCCTTGAGCTTTATCGCGCGGACTTATTGACCTGCTCTTATAGATCGATGAGTGTAAATCCTAACCGACTTCCAAAAAAGGAGAAGGTTATCAGTTCGTCGGAGTATTGTTTTTTTTTTTATATATGTTACCGCATAACTTTGGGCCAGGTCAACCGATTTCGATAAGTGTCTCAGAGGTGGTCCCATACTAATCTGGCTTAGATCCGATCATTGGATCATGAAATATATATATATACATATGTATATTTTTTTAAGTAGATTTTTTTTTTGCTAAAAATTACTTGTTTATATTTATTTTTATTTTTTTTTGTTCTTTTGCCATTTTAAGATTCTTGGACATCGCTTCACAGTGCAAAGCAGTTAT